TGAACATTAATGTTCAGAATTAAGAAATCTGATGGACAGTTGAGGATTGTGGCGATTATTTCCTTAGAATTCGACAGTTATCTTGAATTAATTAGCTGCACTAACTTCTTTAGCAGCAATGACGCACACGGAAGAAAAAGATCCTTTCAGCAATTTTACAAACGGATTACAATTGGATATTCACTATGGTCATTTCATAATGATAGAACAATCCGCTGGAACACCAGTTTGGAATTTTCATATGTCGCTATTTGAGATACTGAAGACTGGTTCAAGCTAACTTCTTCTGAAATACAACGCCTTTCTGTTTATCATTTTTCAATGACTTTTTCGGAGTGGTAGAATTGCGAAGAGGTAATGTATGAGGAGAGGTAATGTTTAAGATTATCTACACCTCATGCAATGACAAAACTGAGATATTCCAATGTAAAAATGGTTATATCTCACATGAATGGTTTTTTGTATGTGTCTTTGATCGCTGAGTCGTACATAAAAGCTGGATAATTGAGTGTTGAAGAAGCATTTGAACTGTATAATTAATTGGAACGTTTGTTGCAGTGGCCGAATTGCTTTTTTTTTGGCTCTAAACATCAGTGAATCAGTATGTTTTCATCTGCATCAATGAATAATTGCGTGACAACGTTCCTAATCAATGTATCGCTCCATCCTACACATCCTTCATTAATCAAGTCATTGCAATTATTGTGACTACAGTCTCGTAACATTTGGTTTGTTGGTATCTACGGAGCAAAATCATCCGATGACAATTCATAAAAATGATTGATAAATTTCCCGTACAATAGTATGGAATTTACTTGACTGCTCACAGTAATCATCACTATTGTTGCTGTTCAAATATTTCTGAAATTGAACTGCAAAGAGTTGATGAGCCAAACCGATCTCATCACAGCAATTGGTGTCGGTGTTGTCCTTGTCTTTTCGCTGTTCGCACGTGCATACTATTGGTAAGAGTCACGATATTAGACAAGAATTTCATCGATACTGATTTTGTTCATCGAAAACTGATCTTAAAACCTTCGAATACGNAATTTTTAATTGACATAAAAACATACAAGAAAATGTTTTGTGTTAAATGATTAGCTACGCCGTAGTGCTCGGTGTGAAGAATTCGATCATGACAGCGATATGTTTGAAGAATTCGTTCCTTTGATTCAAAATCACCAACAATGAGCGATGTGCTCGCCTTACACTAGACAAAACAATTGGAAGCATGCGGAATGAGTAGAATGTTTTATGTTAGGAACTGGATGGTACTATTTGCATGAATCTTCATTGATTGATCTGCGATGAATCAGAATCTTTTTATTTGCATCGACCTAGAGTATGACATTTAAGCGTTAGCTGATGATGATTCCACCATATTTTGCTTCTATCATGAGGAATTTCGTTCGACTGTATTCGCATGTAACAACTCTCTGATGGTTGTTCGTACGAACTGGTTCATTTGAAATTCTACAATCCAGGTCAAAGTCAGCCGTATACTTCACCTCCAGTCGAATGACCATCAGTGCGATGGAGCCAGTTTGCATCGTATCAATCGTAATCGCCACCCTCTGTCTCACCTTGATCGTAGCATTCGCAGTTTGGTGGTAAATATTAGCATGTTTTGATGCCATTGAACAGTGAACATGATCGAGATGCGTCGTTGCCATTTGATTCCTCAAAATCAAATCTTCTAATCTTCACTTTTCCATTCACCGCAAGAATCTATACTAAATGTTGCTTGACTTGCAAAAGAAACGTGAACGTTTACCCAACTTAACAAGGATTATCGTTCAATTAACTAGACCATCATAATGACTCTTGTTGTGAACAAATAAAGAGCTGGTTCTATCATGAGTGAATTTGAAATTGCAACCTTACTTCTCATACAGAAGCCTTCCAGTCATGACAATGGCACATCTGATAACTCAACAACGATTCAGGTTTTGGCGTAGAAGAAGAAGCCTGACGATAGCACAGGAGCACCAAAATAACGCACAACCTGAGAACTTTCAAGTTCGCGAAGACAGAGGTTANTTTTGTTCGGCATCGGAGCAATTTCTGAAAATTTGGTTAAATTGTCAAAACTGAAGTAACAGAGCAGAAAATTATTGCTATCTAGGTATCGGAAAAACTGACTCTTCATTTAAGATCTAGTGCTGAAACATGAACCGACTTTATTGCACAGTTATATGAGCCATTGTTTCACACCAACTTCTAGTTAATGCACCATCTGAAAGCACGACCACGCCACCAGCACACGAACGAACATCCTTTCAATCAACTCTGCCACCAAGTGGCACTGTCACCTACAGAGAAGAGCACTCACTGCACCGCATGACCTGCTCTAAGGTGAATCCATCATCAGGGTATTCTACTCGTACTGCCCACAGAGCACACTTCTCATCAAACGATCGTTTCACCTGAGGACACATAAAATTGCCATCAACCATTCGCTTCCATTCAAAGCTAATGATGTTTTTTTCGATGATTTATATAGAGGGTCTTTTCTTCTCAATAATGATCTTGAGCGAAATTT